TATATATATATATATAATATACATATTTTCTTCAACCAATTATTTAAATTTAAAATGAGTTTTTCCTAAAAAAAATATACTGCTAACAAAGTAAAATCAACAACAAGTCAATGAATGATTATAAATATACATAGAACTAATTATTTTATATAATCTCTAACGTACAGATGTACTATTTAAAATTATCGAACATGCATTGATGTTTATTTTTTTTATTAAAACTATCACATGTTTACCTTTTTTTTAAAAGATTAATTATTAGTTGAAAAAATAATGAATAAGTGATTGTAAAATAAATTAAGGAAAGCCTTTTGCTTCTGCTCAAACTTGATTGGGAAGGTCCACGGTAGTAGAATAAGGAATTAGTGTCTTAACTTTGGACGACAATCCAACACACACAGATAACACAGAAGTAAACAGACACCTCAATTTTTATGCGGAAACTCTTGAAAAGGGGAAAAAATCACGAGGTCCGTTAAAACTATCACATGTTTACCTTTTTTTTAAAAGATTAATTATTAGTTGAAAAAATAATGAATAAGTGATTGTAAAATAAATTAAGGAAAGCCTTTTGCTTCTGCTCAAACTTGATTGGGAAGGTCCATGGTAGTAGAATAAGGAATTAGTGTCTTAACTTTGGACGACAATCCAACGCACACAGATAAAACAGAAGTAAACAGACACCTCAATTTTTATGCCGAAACTCTTGGAAAGAGGAAAAAATCACGAGGTCCAGTGCAATTAAAATAATTCACTATAAATAATGTCTAAGGTGAAACGTTCACTCTTCTCTTGAATTAAAAAAAGATGACGGTTCTATATATCACTTTTATTACCAAATTGTGTGTTGTATTTTTGTGTAATGCTGAGACAATAACTCATTAGTCTACGGCTGCAAATTCTCCAGCACACATCAGAACCCATATTCTTTTTGCTCGAAAAAAAGAATAGAAGTAGCACTTTGCTACCTTAATAAACAATTGACCAAAAAAAGACGGTGCCCAAATATAATTTGCTTAAATTGTTTAGGTTAACTTTCACTTGCATGTACATATTTATAAATTCGTCACTATATGACTAATCCAATCATATTATTATTATTATTATATTAAAGAATGTATTTAGCTTGAGACAAGTTGGTCGGGCATGACTCATGAGGATAGAAGATAAATGAGATAAATGAGATAAATTATGAAATTTAATAATTTTTAAACACATTTGTCGTGCAACATGTATTTTAAACTTTATATAGACTCTAAACCCACACAAGGTGTCTAAAACATGACATCACTAAAGGGAGATGGGCGTAGGATGATTTATTAGCTAAATGCTAAAATGTAATTTAGAAGTTGTTTGGTTGTATATCTTTAAAATATACATATTTTAAGAATATAGGAGTTGCATGCCACATCTTAGTGTTCATGAAAGTTCAACACGCACATGGATGACTCAAATAACGTGTAGAGACACTCAAGGTTTGCAAAAGTGGTTTAAGGACTTGATATGATTTAATTATACTCAGATTGGAGCAATTTTGGTGTTATGGGTCCGTTTCGTTGAGCCGGTCAGTTTGATTGTAAGCTAACTAAAATCTGAGTATTAGCTATTTTTCAATTTGAGCTGAAATTTTTATTGTTCGAAATGCTTCGAAATTTGTGCTAATAATCTTGAAATTCATGTCAAATAATAAATTTTGTTAATGACATATCAATAATGTAATAGAAATATATATATATATATATATATATAAAACCCCTGTTGAAGTTGTGAGCGAGAAAAATTCTCAGCGGGATTACGGAATCCCGCAATTGAGCAGCATCTCATCCGACAAAATCCCACTATCAAAACTATAATAGGCCATGAGGCCGAATTTGGTCCAACTTTGATCCTGCAAAGATCTCAAGAGAAGGATTTGTGAGAGCTCCCACATCACACTTAGGGCCCGTTTGGCGTCGTAGAACAGCTGTGAGGCGTTTTCAAAATGCCGACATTGGTGTTTGTTTTCTCCGTCTTTATTGTGTTGCGAGATAGGTTTATTTCCTTTTGTAATACACGTTGCCCGCAGGTTCAACCCCGCGTCCCGTGTTGGGAGAAATTTTTTTACGGATCTACCTTCCCATTGCGCGCATCCGGTGTTATTTTCAGTATTATTCGTGGTTTTTGTCAACCGTTGATTCTCGGTGTTATTCGTGATAGTACTCAGGTGTTATTGCGATGTTATTCGCGGTATTTTTTGTGCCTCTTGTCAGCCGTTGATTAACAGAGTTTTGGCGTGTTTTAAGCGATATTATTCAGGTGTTATTTCAGTATTATTAGCATCCTTTACCAGCCGTTGATTCCCAATTTTTTGGGGTGTTATTTGTGATAGTATTCAGGTGTTATTTCAATGTTATTCGTTTTATATTCATGCTTTTTGTCAGTCGATGATTCTTGGTGTTTTACAGTGTTATTTACAGCAGTATTTGTCGGCACTATTTTGGTTAGAGTAGCCCGTTGGAAGTTGTCGGTCATCGGAATCGAAATCTCATCGTCCGTTTTTGAAGAACATTTTGATTTACATATCTATATATATATATATATATATATATATATATGTTTTTATACAAATATAAGATCAAACTGACACCA